TGGCACTCAAAATTCCGCGATTCTCTTTCAACCGTCTCCGCTGGAAGCAAGGTGCATCCTGGGGCCAGCTGCCTTCCCATCACTCCTGGGTCTTCTCAAAAGCTGGCTGCCACCTAAGAAGATCTGTCTAATCGGGTCAGCGTGTTGCTGAGGGCAGATTGCCTTACCCAGCCTAAGTAAATAAGTAGTGTTGGTTTACAGAGGAAAAATACAAGTTCCCTGGTGTGTCTGATACGTGTGTTCCTACCAAAGAGTTTCAAGTGTGCGGTGGAATTTTTTCTTAATGCATATTTAAGTCCCCTGGTGTGCATTCTCCAGTTTCTCTGATGTTCAGTTAATTGGAAACGCACCTTACTCAAGAAAGCCTTAAAATAAAAATGCATTCCCCCTCCTTGGCCCATTGGTGAAAATTTAAATACTTACAAAGCTAAGGAGGCTGTTAACCAAAATGTGTATTTGGGGTCTGGCCTGTACTTTATCCAGACATTATTGGAGTTGTCTAAATGGGGGGTGGGGCGGGCGGGAGAGAAGCTTTAACTCCTGAACTAAGCGCAATTAGTCGGGCATAAAGGAAGTCTAAAGGGGTGCTAATTGCCTTTAAAAAGATAAATTGAATTGAACCAGAGAAGCAGAAAATTACCTTTGTTGAGAATCATCTTGGTTGTTTAAGAAGGGGAGGGCTAGTTGAAATCGGAACAACCGGCTGCACACAGCTGAGAGGTTCTTACCCCTTTCTCCACCAACCGTAGATCCCAAGGAGGAAACCTGAAATCCTCAATGTCGCCCGCCCCGTCAGAGCCAGGTGGGATTCCCCAGACCCTGGTAAACCGCACGCACTCTTACATCTGTGCCAGCCTTTGTCCTCATGTCTCTTGGCGAGGACTCTCAATGTCATTTGTAAATGTTATCTCCGAGGGTGTGTGGAGAAGCTGTCTAAGCGAAGTTAATTGAAATTCAGTTTTAGTTTTAAATAGGCCTTCGGGCAGGGGTGAAGGAGGGCTCTCTTCTGTGAACTCCACAACCTTGAGGATGTGTGTGTGTTACTCATAAAATGAGTCCAATATGTGTGCAAGAGATAGTACTGATAGCTTTGAGAGTCCTGCTAAGGAGATAGCAAAGCTGAAACAAAATGTGATGTGTCACAACACGAAGCAGTCAGACCGTGGTCGCTTGTCCCCATGCATTTGCGCAGACTATCGTGGAGACAGGAGCATGCGGCAGAAAGGGTTCTTTCCTTCATGGTGGGCAGGAAGCGGAGAGGAAGGGAAAGGCCAGAGGCTAGGCCCAGAGATGCTTGTCCAAGGAGGAGGCATGTAGAAAGGCTGCCCTTCCCTCCTCCAGAGAATTGTGTAAGCTCAGGACACATTTGACTAACTCAGTGTGCCAATGGTTCTTGGTTTTCCTCTCCAATATCTGTGCACATAAGTGACAAAAATTTGGGAACGCTTACTTAGTAAATTTCACTGGCACCTGCTGAATTCCCCTCCCTCACCTCCCTGTGTCAATGGCCATCCCATCATCATGCCTCTGTCTTCTCCATCTCCTTTTCTCCCTTGGTGTCCACACCCGTGACCGTGGTTTCCAATGCTCTAATCTAGGTCAACAGCTCAGGGTTGCCCTTGAACTTCTCACTCAAACCTCCCACTGTCTGCTTAGCACCAGCCCTTGGGCATCTGAACCCTAAGTTGTCTGAACGAGAGCCTTGACTCCTCCTGACCTCCTTGCATAAGTCCTCTGTGTTTGGTCCCTGGTCTCTGGGCCTCATGCACACTTTTGGACAGAACCTCACAGTGACCAGGGCATGGGGTGACGATCTTCACCTCGTAGTAGACAGGAACAGGGAGAAGGGAAGGGACCAGGGATCACATAGATCTTTTCAAAGTACACACCCCCACCTCACCCCTGCCCAGGGACGTATTTCCTCCTGCAAGGCCCTGCAATCTAAAGTTTTCAGAAATTGCTAAAATGGCGCTACCGTTGCGGACCGCCAGCCTGTGGGGAGCAGCTCATGCTCAGAGCGTTCTCCATGAAATAAAATAGGACCATTTCGCTGGTCCTGTCACACAATTCATCCTCTTTTCTCTAATCCATCCATGAGTTCTGTCAGTTTTATCTCCAAAATATCTTTCCTCTTTCTGAATCGCTCTCACTTATCTCCATTTCCACTCTCCACTCTGTCCCCGGGAGGACTATGGGAGCCCCTGGCTAATGTGCCTCTTCTCACCCTTGCTCTCTGCAATGGATTCTCCACACAGTGGCCAGCGTGAACTTTACAGAATGTAAATCAGCTCATGTTAATCACCTGATTAAAACCCTGCCATGTTAGACTAGGAACGCATGGGTCTCTTTCTGTAAAACACACAGTAGCAGATTGATAGAGGAAAATCGCTCACCGCACAAGCTTTCCAGCGGACACCAAGAGCATTCAGGAAAACCCAAACCTTGTTCATGGCGGAAACCAGGAAGAGGAGGGAATTTCCTTAACCTGGCAAAAGTGAGCAAATGCATTTTTTTCATTTATTGTTTTAAGTGTATGTGTGTGTGCCTGAGTTATGTATATGTGCCATGTGTGTATGGGTGCCCTCAGAGGCCAGAAGTGGGTGTCAGAGTCTTTGGACCCTGAGTGATAGGAGGTTCTGAGCTACCTGATGTGGGTGCTAGGAACTGAACCTGGGTCCTCTGGGAGAGCAGCAAATGCTCTTAACGACTAAGTCATCTTTCCGACCCCCTAATGCGTTGTGAGGTCGGTGCACGCAAAAGTAAAAGAGCGCAACCCCACCACTCAGGAAGCTAAGGCAGGAGGATGGCAGCTCTGAGGCTAGCATGAGCTACACGGTGAAACATCAGATCAGTGACACAAAAGACTGGGAGACAAGGGGAGAGATGCAAAGACAGGGGATAAGTCAGACAGAGGTACTTTTCATTTCAGCAGTAAAGTTTGTTTGTATGCTTAGCTCTAAGTGCATGGCATTACCTATACCTGTCGGGGATTAGGCTGCCTGAAGGATTTCATCATAACTTGTTTTTGTTTTTTAGTGAGCATTAGAAGCGTTGGGAGCGGTCGCCAGCAGGGCCCAAGGTGGGAAGACTGAGCCCGAACAACAACAGCAAGACCGGAGGGAATGTGTGGAAGCCACGAAGGGAGAGGGGCTCCTTGGGATCCTTGGGCTCCTTGGCCGACTACGGCGGGCCATGAGGAAGGAAGGGGGAGGCACCTTGGTGACTGACTCGCCCTGCGCTGCCTGAGTGGTTGATGAGCGAAGTATAAGCAGGGTGTGGGAATGGGCAGACTCTGGGGTGGGGACTCTCTTTGAAGGCACAGACAGGGGAGAGGAAAGGACCCGAGGACATGGCTCAGTGGGTTTTGCAGGCATGAGAACCCGAGTTCAGATCCCCAGAACTCACATAAAAGCAGGCATGGCCTCTCGTGCCTGGAATCCCAGCCTGCAGGTGGAGAGCGGTGGATCATGGGAACTCCCTGGCCACCCAGACTAACTGA